ACACACACACACACACACACACACACACACACACACACACAGTGAGAACCCCCCACCCACACATTTCGGTCCAAACCCAGAGGAACCTTCTGTCAGAGCTGAAGCATCAGGTTCTGGTCTTAAAGGGACAGTCTGGACTTTTTCAGGTGGGATTCTGTGGACCAGGGGTTCTTATGAGACGCATCATGGGGGTCCTCAAAAATTCACTAAACTGTTAATTTGTTTATATTTTTACAAATGGAGAACAGTGAAGTAATAAAACAAACATATGGACCCATCATGACGAGTTGCTGACAGATTAACTCTGGATTATTTCAGATTATCTGAGGTCTGCTGTCRCTCAGAGACCAATTCAAAGAGGAGCTTCATTAAAACTGAGCAGGAAACATCTGGAAGGTCTGCTCCAAACCTCCAGCTCCACCCAGGATGACCAGGAAGATGATTACAAATAGACTTCATTACACACGTCACAAGTTCAATGACATGCAGTTTGCATATATGTATATACAYAAAAGCTTTTCTGGTACCTGGTGGTCTTAGTCCAGAGGCTCCTGTAGCGCCTCCTAGAGGGCAGGAGGGTGAATAGTCTGGGTGACCGGAGTCTTTGATGATKTTCCAGCCCTTTTCAGACACCACTTCCTGTAGATGTCCTCTATGGCAGGAAGTGGTGCTCTGATGATGCGCTGGGCGGCTTTCACCACCCTCTGTAGCACCTTCTGGTCTGATGCCGAGCAGTTCCTGTTCCAGACTGTGATGCAGTTGGTCAGGATGCTCTCAGTGGTGCAGCAGTAAAAGTTCATCAGGATGTCTGAGGACAGGTGGTTCTTCCTCAGGGACCTCAGGAAGAAGAGGCGCTGGTGAGTCTTCTTGACCAGCATGGAGCAGCCGGTCGTCCAGGTGAGATCCTCGGAGATGTGGACGCCCAGGAACTTGAAGCTGTTCACACTCTCCACTGCTGTCCCCTTTAGGTGGACGGGTGGATGTGGGTCAGTGTTCCTCCTGAAGTCCACAATGAGCTCCTTGGTCTGATCAGCGTTGAGCAGCAGGTTGTTGGTGTCACACCACTCAGACAGATGATCCACCTCATACCTACAGGCGGTGTCATTGTTGTCTTTGATGGGGACGATCACTGTGGTGTCATATCCAAACGTGACAATGATGTTGGAACCATCGACAGGTTTGCAGTCGTGGGTGAGAAGGGAGTAGATGAAGGGACTCATCACACAGCCTTGTGGTACACCAGTGTTTATGGTGATGGTAGATGAGCAGTGGTTGTCCAGCCGGACATGTTGGGGTCGACAGGTCAGAAAGTCCAGCTGCACATGAGGGAACTGATGCCTGAGTCTGTGTTGAGGGGATGACTGTGTTGAATGATGAACTGGAGTCTATGAACAGCGTCCTGATGGAGGTGTTTTTGGTGGTATGCAAATTGGTGGTGGTCCAGTGTGGTAGACAGGATTTGAGGTGTGCTAGGACCACCTAGGACCACCTACCAGGACCAAGCTGGTCRAAGCACTTTGTGATGATGGTGGTGAAGGCTACTGGGCAGTACTGAGTCTTGATGGGTTGGAGTTTTTGGGCACTGGGACGATGGAGGTGGTTTCAAAGCAGGTCAGTACCACAGCACGGGCCAAGGACAGGCTGAAAATATCTGTCAGCTCCYCAGAACATGATCTGAGAACAGGTCCAGGGATACCATCAGGACCTGCAGCCTTGTGGACTTTAATCCTGCTCAGCRCTGATCCTACATCCTGTGGAGAAGAGTCAGTTGTTGGTGGTCTGAGTCATAACAAATAACAAAGAAAACAAAGTGAAAAAAATTAAGAAACGATTGATCCATTGATTGATTGATTGATTGATTGATTGATTGATTGATTGATTGATTGATTGATTGATTGATTGATTGATTTGATTTGATTTGATTTGGCATCCTTCATTGAAGGTGACTTATAACTGCTTTGGTCAAAGGTTTTCTGTTGCTACTGATCAATGTGGGCCCAAAGAAAACAAACATAATAAAACAAACATAATAAAACAAACAAAATTACAAACATAAATAAAACAAATAAAAATACAAACATATTAAAACAAACAAAAATACAAACATAATAAAACAAAGAAAAACATAATAAAACAGAAAGCAAAAAGAAACACAAACATAATAAAACAAAGAAAAACATAATAAAACAGAAA